TTACGCTCCCATTCGATGTCGCGTGTTGCTCCGAAGCACGTTTTCGGACGCAGTAATCCACCGGCAATTACTTGGGCAGTAGTCGCCGGCCGGCTCAATTCGATCGATCGTCAACTCCTCTGAGTAGCCATTCGCCAACGCCCAGTTCCTGAATCTCTCGTAACTGTTTTGCCACTCCTCGCAAACCTGAACTCCCTTTCCGCCATACCACTGATAGTTGTGCCGCCGTGCGTTTCCGCACCTTGTCTTCATCCCCAGCCAAATGCAGTGCAGACGGGTGCCGGTTTCTCCGTGCCTCCGCGATTGCCTGCCAAACTCAGCGCCCAATCGCTGCATCCGGCGGGAGGCTACCTCTCGCATCAAGCAGCCACACGACTTGGTGTCCCTCCGAAGGTTGTCAATGATCACGGCGAGGTAGCTGCCACACTCACACCGACACACGACGCAAGTCCGTGGCCTTCCCGACTTACGCACCCTGAATGGCACGCCCTCCACTCGCAATCTTCCGAACACGTCACCGACATTGAGCTTTGACCTTGTTACAATCAGTCCAGCCATGACTTCCTCCGGATCAGGAATCGTGGTTAGCCCCGTGCTGTCCAACACGGGGCGTTTTCATTGCCCTGCGTCCCACCTCTCTGCGATCTCTCGGACTTGGGCGAATCCAAACTCCTCAAACGACCGTCGAGCAATCTTGCGGCCGTGCGGCAGCCCGGCGACTCGCACCGAGTAAACCTTTTGCTCCGATGGCTGCACGAACCGCCCCAGCGCAAGCCTCAACTGCTGGGGATCGCGTCCGACCTCCCGGGCCACATCCTCTATTGAGAGTGGCGCCAGGTATTTTCCGATCGCGGCCTTGAAGGCGGATGCAGACTCCGCAGGGCCGCGGCCTGTGATCAGTGATTCGATAGCGGTGTAGTCTTCCTGGTGGCGCTCTACCGCCCGGTCAAGATTTCCGAGGTGGAACGATTCCAGCCGTTCCTGGGTGTCACGATCGCTGTAGACATCCACGCCACCTTCAATCAAGCGGCGAAAGTCGTTCACGGATGGACCATTGATGCCCTTGGGGTGGCAAACGATGCAAGCGGCAGGGCTGACTAGCTCTCGGTTTCCGAGTACCTGGTTGTAGTCCTCGACAATGTCGACGGGCGCTACATCCTGTCGGTTTCCCTTCCCATCAAAAAGAGCGTACGCTTGCAGCGACCCTCGCGTTCCGCTCCCGAGATGCACCTTTGGTATCGCCGCGATATGTTCCTCGGCGTCGTGCTTGGCCGCGCGCGGGTTGCTCTCCCACTCGACCTCGAGGGCGCAGACCTTCATCCACTCGCGGACCGCCCAGATGGTCGCCAGCTTGCACCAGTCGGGCGCGTGGACCGTGAGCTGCACGGCCGCGGGCTCCCCGATCCAGCCGGTCCCGTTCCAGGGGGTCTTGTCCCACCGGGCGAGCCGGTTGCTGGCCGGTTCTTTGTTGCCGCACACCAGGATCTGCTGCGGAGCGGTCATCGTGTGGCCCTCGGTGGGAGTAGAAGGCCGGCGCCCCCATGTTTCGCCCGGGGGACGCCGGCGCGACCCTGCCTGCTACTTACGGAAGATGACCCGCTGCAGAATCTGCAGCAGGATCGGCAGGCCCCACGAGAGGGCCTTTTCGAGGATCGCGCCCTGCAGGAACTCCTCGCGGCGCGACTCGGGCAGGTGGTGAACGAGGTCCTGCTTCACCTCGTCGGGCATCACGGACACCGCAAGGGCGCCCTCGGGGATTCGGTCCTGGCGGCTCACCTCACTGGCGACCCACTCCTGGGCCAGCTCGGACTTGTGCAGGGCCTCGAGCATGTCGACGGCCGCGTCGTCGACGAGCGTGTCGGTCTGCTCGGCCGCCTTGCGGGCCATCGGGATCAGCAGGTCAACGGCGCGCTTGACGGCGGCGCGGTCGGGGAACAGGTCGGCGACGCTGAACGCTTGGGCTTCGGGGGGCATGGCAGGGGCTCCGGGGTATGGGCACAAAAAAAGACGCAGCGTCGCTCAGGCTCCGATGGCTCTCGGAGCGAAAGCGCCACTGCGTCGATTCGCTTGGCTGGGGCGGACAGCCAGTCAGGTTGTTGCCGAATTATTGACCGGACCCGCCGCTCCCGTCAAGTTTGGCCCTCTGCCGGCGCCGGTCGGCCTTGATTGCCGAGCGGTACTCGCGCAGCACCTCCCCCTCGCTCTCGTGCGACTCCAGGGGGATCAGCACCACCTCGCGCTTGCCCAGGTGGGCGACGACCAGGCGGCGTGGGTCCTGCACGATCTCGCCGGGCTTGAGTCGGTAGGTGTATCGGGGCATGGGCTTCCTGCTCTGCGGTGGTGGGGCTAGGACTCGATCAGGCCGCCAGCGGAAGCCGCTGCCACTTGCCGTCGACTTCGGCGAAATACTTGCCACGGCAACGACCCAGCGTCAGCCGGACGCCACGCTCGTTGCACTTGCTACGGGATGCGATCACCTCCGGCGGCAGCGGGCCTTTCTCCAGGGCCGCCCAGATCTTGCCGGCCACCGTCTCCGGGTCGGGCTCGATCGACGGCCGCTTGAGGCTGGCCGACAACTTCGCCGTCGACTGCTCGCCACCGCCGACCACCTTGAGCAGCCCGCGGAGCTTCGCCTTGCGGGCCTTGTACTGCTGGTTGAACGCGTCGCGCTTGCGGTCCAGCTCCGCTAGCTCGGCCTCGATCGCCTCGGGCGTGAGCTGGTCGACCATCTGCGACACGCTGGCCGGAGGCTGTGGCTGCTGATTGTGGGTTCCGTTCATCGTCTTGGGTTCCTCCCGGTACGGGGTCTTGGCGAAGTAGGCCCGGAACTGCCGGGCCGCGTCTTTCTCGATCTGTCGCACGCGTTCTTTCGACACGCCCAGTTCGGCGCCAACCTCGTCGAGCGTCCGGCCGTCGAACATGCGGCGGCGGAGGATCAGCGCCCGGCGGGGTTCCATCTTGGCCAGCGTGGCGTGCACCCGCTGCCTGTCGGTCGCCAGGGACTCGTTGTGTTCGGCGTTCTCGCTGGGGTCGTCGACAACGGCGGGCTCGCGGTAGTTCGGGTCTTCGTCGTCCAGCTCGTGGATCGACACGCACGCGTGAGCCGCGTCGGCCTGGTCGCCGTAGCCGCTGTTGCGCGCGGAGAACGGAACCCAGACCACGCTGCCGGCCATGTGTCGCCGGTCCCGATGCATGAACTGGAAGATCCACGAGTACGCGTAGGTGGTGATGCTGGCCACGTCCGGGTCCAGCTTGCAGGCTGCGCGGTGGGCGCCCAGGCAGGCGGACGCGTACGCCTCGTCGATGTCCCAATTGGTCGCCTTGGCGAACTTGGCCGCCTGCATCATGGCCATTGGGAAGACCGACTGGGCTAGCTCCCATGCGGCCGACTCGTCGCCCGCGTCGCGCCGCTCGCAGAGGGCTTTCTGCTGGTCGCGCGAGAGCGGCTTGTGGTCTTGGTACTGCACGGCGGGCTTCCTGCCTTGGTGGGTCACACGCTGGGTTGTTGGTTGTGGTCCACTTCCGTC